CGGTCCTAGCCTCGAACAACTTCGAAGGATGTTGTCGAAAATCAAGCATAATCAACGGAAGGCCGAAATATCTGTGACCGGTCGGATATCACAACGGTGATCTCGGCATGTATCGATGGAGAATCGACAATTAGTTAATCCTAGGATATTTACCTTTTATAGAGTTGTACCTAATGTAGAATTCCCCTACTATATAAAGGGGGTACAACTACTCATAAAAACAATTGTAACACGTGTTCCAAGGCAATATATTATCATTTTCTCTGTTATATAGCTTTTTTTCACTTGTTCATCACTGTTGACTATAGCGAGCCCGAATCGAGGGTGAACAATTTCACTAAGGTTGAAACTGTCTTATTTGCATGGTTTGAATTCATTTTATCTTTACTTATTCAATCTAATCCAATTTATAGTTTTGTATCAAATTAATCCGTGTATCCTTAAAATCACTTACAAATTCAATTGTTATCCGATTTGTAGGGTAAACACATGCAGAACCAAAAATTAAAATGAATAAGAAGAAACCAAAGAAAAGCAACAAATGAAACAAAAAAAAAAAATATGAAGTCAACCATCTCAAGTTTTTGGAAGCTACTCTCACGAGAGAGAAACACAACTTTCCACTGAAGGATCGGAAGACTGACGTTGGTCATGGATGAATATTTGATCTGAATGATTCTAGATAGGAGGCAACTGGTTAGTCCAGCAAAATGTGGTCCAATGAAAATGATTGAAGTGAGGAGGCAATATTAATATTTCAGTCTCCAATTTAGGATGCTTAATTTCTCAAAACCAGGAGCTTGCTCTAAGTCAATTTTTATTTGCTGGTCTACATTTATTTTTATATATGAAGTTGGTGGAAATAATTAACCTAACTTTTTCATCGTTCTAGCTAAGGTCGTTACCTAGTTGCAATCGAACCAAATGAAATCTCCATTTGCTTTCATGTGGGAAGGACCAAAGAATTTCTCCCCATACAAGATACAAAAAATGTTACTGTAATATCTTAATTATTTATGGATAAATATCTATTATACAATCTTAAACTCGCATGCTCTCATAGGGTTCCGATAGAATTCATAGAAAGTAGCTTTGCCTTTTTCTTGATTCATACTACAGTACTAATTTATAGTAGTGTTTTATTTATAGGTTAACTGCACCAAGTATAAATTTCTGGAACTTCTGTTTCTTATCTTTTCCTCCATATATGTTCGTCTAGATCAAGAAAGAGAGATTAAAAGGGTAACCTCATTTTCTTAAGTAAAGAACAGTTTCTTATATAAGGGGATTCAAAAAGAAAAGGAGAGGAATAATAGGGCTTGTGGTCCACAATCACAAAGCAAATATTTCAAATAAGACGATTCAGAAATATATATGAGAATATAAAATATATAGGTTAAAGCAATCTTTTAAGCCATCTTTGGAACTACTATATAAGTTTATGTTTATCCTATTTAAACAATATATAGAGTTTTCCAATTAAGGAATTCAATACAACCTGTTCGAACCGTATAGCTCTCCTCTGCTTGTGGAAGAACGGTATATGACTTTAGGATTAATCCAACTAGAGATCCCTTTTTGATTTCTCTAGAAAAACCAGTTCATTTTGAGAAGTATTTTTTTTTTTAAAAGTACTTTTAGTGAGAAGCACTTTGTGTTTAGCTAATTAATTTGAAAAGCAGTTCTGAGCAGCAATTAGTGTTTGACCAAGTTTTAAAAAACTGTTTCTAAGTATATTTTTTTTGAAAGTGAGTTTCAAAAAAGTGCTTTTGGAGATAAGTTATTTTTTTCTGCTTCTCCAAAACTCTTCTGCTTCTCTTCAAAAGTATTATTTTTCCTTTCGAAAGCTTGACCAAATACCTTAATTTTAGAAAACATATTTTTGAAAAAAAAAAAAAAAACGCTTTTGCCTCAAAAGAAGCTTGACCAAACAGGCTAATAATATACTTTATCCGTCTCAATTTATTTAATGCAATCCGAATTTTGAGAGTAAGACTTCATAAATATTGGTTCCTTAAATTTTTTCAAATAATTTATATTTCTAAAAACTATATAAAATAGGATGGAGAGAGTACCAATTATTTTTTCTTTGGATAATGCAAGAAAGTTGTCTCTAGAAGAGTGGTTGTACGTATGCACCGTAAAGGATACAGAACAATCAATCATTAACATTAACAAAGAGTAATCTGTCTTGATATATGAAATATGGAGAGAATTAAAGGGGAAGTAAAAACAAAGTTGCTGTTATTTTCATAGTCATGCTGAGGGGAGAGAGTGGTCACGGGCATCACTTGACTATGGTAGCACAGTGTTTCCCCCACGCCTACACTCACAAAGTAGACTCCAACGAGTCCCAAGCTATAGCCTACATCTCTATAATTGCATGCTCTTATTTTGCCTCCGTCAATTTGTTTCTACCATCATCCCCCACTCTACTTTTTTATATCCCTATATATTCAACTATCATAATCACATGTATATGCTTTTTTTTTGTGTGTGTGTGTACAAGGAAGACTTAATGAAAATGGGGGTTAATTAAGTATGTTTCCCCATAAATTAGCATGTATTCCTTGTGTTGATGTTTGACTGGACCCTAAATTAAAAAAATAAATGAAGATTTTTGGATACATAAATTAAATATTATACAGAGTACGTATAAAGAAACTATCCTTAATTAAATGAGAGGTTTGAATGATGAGAGTTTTACTAGTCTCTTCTTATTCCCTCTTCATAAGAAGTGAAATTTTATAAGAGTTCGAACAAGTTATGTCATTAATGGTAAAATAGAGATAATAAGATTAAATAGTTTCCAAATAGATACAATATATAATCGTACGATAATATTTTGGGGACTGATTAAAAAGGAAAGTGGGTCATATAAAATAGAAAAAAAGTATTACTTTGACTTTTATTTCAGAAATGGTGATTAATCTCAACAAGTAAATCATACTTTTTTCCAAGAATCTTTTTAAAGGGTTTGCTATTGATCGTACCTGTAAATTTTACTGGAAAATGATGCAGAACGCCAGAACCTAAAGTTTCTGAATTTGTGTAAAAACAGGTGTACGTGTGGTTTTGATCTTCTTTCAGATAAAGTACTATATATGTTCTTGCAAGAATTTGCGAGAATCCATCATTTTTTGGCATGGATCAGTTCGATTATAAGTAAGCTTCAAGATATTCAGGTGATATTAAATCCATCACTTTAAGAGATATATCAATGGCTAATTAATTAGTATCAATTTTCCTATATAAAGGAGGTTAATTAGGATGAGTATTTATCCTACCAATTCAGTAGATTGCAATAATATTGTAGCCGATTTTGTATTGCCATATGTTAATAGGAAAGGGACAGTACTAGTAATTTGGTTTTAGCTTCCTGGCGGGGTGAAGATTTAATCTTTCCAGTAAGTTTTGCAATTGACGTTCCATGTTGATTAGATTAATTTAATTGCCCAAAATTTGGGCTAAATTGTTAGAATCACGATTATAGGAGTGTGAACTGCTCTAATAAAGTTCTTTGATGCAACTTTACATATCTAAATACACAGTTAGACTTGATAAACTGATCTTTAAGAAACTCCCAAAATATGCAAAAGAATATTTTCGATACTCATGAAATGTACGTACCTTTAATTTTACTAAACAATTAAATAATGATTGATAGGCTCTCTTACTCGGTGCAGTTTTTCAGTGAATTTACAACTAAAACATGATATATATTACCAACGCTGGAAGTCTGAAACGATTACTGAAAACCTATTTCATTATGGATTGAGCTAATTAAACTCGCTAATATAGTGTAAAAAAATTGCATACTATCAGTGCAATTTTACCTCCATAGCCGATTGCGGTACTTGTTTGATTCCCAATTCCACTTAATCTGTAAAATATAATAAAGCTCTAACCACCTTTTAAGTAATTTAATAACGTAAAAATTCCGTATACACTTAACTCAAACTCTCTCTTTCTTTTGGTTAAGGAAGATAACTATGTAAATAATAACTAAATAACGTCGTTACACGTACGATAATATAGTAGTTCCCAGTTGGGATAATTCATTATAAGTATTAATCGAAATAGATAATCTAATCCTTAATCCATTTTCTAAGACGGATGACAAAATAAAACCCGGTGGTGATGACCCATGAACAAAAACATTGAAATTTCCTTCCTTTACTAGCTCTTTCATTGTGAGGCTGGAAAGAGTTGTGTTATAATTGAATGGCTCAATACATAGGTTACCTTCGAGCTTCTAGCAAAATACCCTTTACACACCCTTTTTTTATTTTTATTTTTTTTACAGGAAACTTTACTTTACATATTAGATTTTTTTCAACTATGTCTAATACATACCTCTTTTGCACTTGACCATTTGCTTTTGAAGATGGCACACATGCGCCATGTGTCATAAGAAGTAAGAAATATTCTACCTTATATTATATTGCTCTTCCATAATACTCCCTATGTCCTAATTTTATGTACCATACTTGATTTTGTAGTATGTCTAAAAAATATATATCATACTTTCTTATTTAGAAATAACTTAACTTTAGTTTATTTTTTTGGTTTTAATGAGATAATTTTTATAGCCATATAAATATTTATGTCTTATTTTAGATCACAAGTTTTATAGATGGAGGGAGTATTTGATATTGGGTTGGTAAGGTGAAAAAATTTACTTCAAATAATATGTGAAAAATGGGAAAGAAATATTACTAAGCAAAACAAAAAAGCTTTTATGGTAGATATTAAGAAAGCTCCAAACCCACCGCTAGTCACCCTGTCCCCCTTTTGGCATGTCCCTTTCTCTTTAAACATCTTCAATGTAGAGGCTGAAAGCTATGTTGATCTTTCTATTAACTCCTATCCTATCCCCACCCCACCATTATATTTCTCCAAATGAAAAATATGAAAAGAAAAAAATATTTATTTATTTATTTATTTTCTTCTAACCCTCTAAAGTGAGAGAAGACTAAGACTTTTTAAGCTTGTGGGGGTGGAGTAGGACAATTTTAAAGAGTCCATATTTATCTATCCCTCCCTCAACCTGCAATTATCGTACAATAGCTCCATGTAATATAAAGGGAGGAAGAAAGGAACTTTAGCCAGAAGATAGGGAGTTGGATTCCCTTGATAAAAAGTTACTGTATTAAAGACTAAAGCTTAGAGGTAGTAGTAGTAGTAGAAAGGGCAGCTAGCTATATTATTTATTTTATGGCAATTGCCCCATTTACAAGCATGAGCCAAAGCCAACAACAGCAAGATGAGAGCAGCAGCAACAATAGAGATCATGATCATGATCATGATGCTGATGATGAGCATGAACATGACATGGTCATGCCTGGTTTTCGATTCCACCCTACTGAAGAGGAACTTGTAGAGTTTTACCTTCGCCGTAAGGTTGAGGGCAAACGTTTCAATGTAGAACTCATCACTTTTCTTGATCTTTATCGCTATGACCCTTGGGAACTTCCTGGTATAAATAATATTTATAGTTTCTCCCTTTTTGCTCCAATCTCTTATATTTTCCTCTAAATACTTGGTTTTCTTGTTTTAGCCATGGCAGCGATCGGAGAGAAAGAATGGTTTTTCTATGTGCCAAGAGATAGGAAGTATAGAAATGGAGATAGGCCTAACAGGGTGACAACGTCAGGCTATTGGAAGGCTACTGGAGCTGACAGAATGATTCGAAATGAGAGTTGTCGGCCGATTGGCTTGAAAAAGACATTAGTTTTTTACTCTGGGAAAGCTCCCAAAGGCATCCGTTCCAGTTGGATCATGAATGAATATCGCCTCCCTCACCATGAAACTGAACGATTACAAAAGGTAAATTATGCAAAAGAAAAAAGTAGAAATTTCACTAATCCGATCTAAACCTAGTTTTTTCCACACTAAATTAAGGGGCTAGAAGAATTAGATATCTTGCTTAATGATCTTTTTCTCCTCCCTTCTTGATTATAAGGTTGTAAAAGGTGTATAGATCCAAAAAGTGTCTATACAGAAAGAAACTCATATTACATCTTAATGATGAAAGTGTGCAAATTTATGAAGAAGATTTTTTTTTCTTTAATTTGTACGAGGAAGAAAATAATTGAGAAAGAAATCCATGTTGTCCGCAGCTAACATACCACGTTAATCACCGCATATTCACTTTTGAAGTGTAGATGAGATTGATGATTAATATTCAAGAAACTGATAAATTCTTCTGGCTGCAATTCCTAATAATTATATGGTTATAATAAGTATTTTGTTTTTCAGGCTGAAATTTCACTTTGCCGTGTCTACAAAAGACCTGGAGTAGAAGACCATCCATCTCTCCCTCGTTCACTTCCCACAACAAGGGCATCATCCTCTTCATCAAGAGCTCACCATTCAATTATCAAGAAACACCACCATCCACAAGTAGTACAAGATTATCGATTACTCTCTCCCAATTATGTAGGACAATCTAATTCCCAGCAAATCGACGAAAAATTGAACGAAAATAGTACTGCAAGTAGTACTAGCACTGATCATCATCATCATCGTCATGTTGGTACATCTCTCAGGCTCAGTTCTCATCAAATAACAGCTCTCACAACATCTACCATAACACCATTCTCTTCTTTAATTTCACCTAATAACACCGCAGTTGTTGATGATCTCCATAGATTAGTCAACTTCCAGAACCTTCACAATCATCATCAGCATTTTCAAAACCTCAGTAACCATAATATTCCTGCAGCATCGATAGCAACCCATCAGTTTTCTACATTGTTGCAGCCACAATTAGCACCACAACAGCCACAACCTAATTTACTGCTTCAAGGATCTCTTCAGCCGTCGGCTTTCTCGGAAAGATTATGGGATTGGAACTCAGTTCAAACTGATGCAAGTTGCAAAGACTATCAACCCAATAACCCCTTCAATTAATTAATCTCATCAATATTGAGCTGCACCTATATGCACATAGACAGATAAGTCTATATAATATCTGCTGTTGTTGCTGCCACTACTTTAATTTGATTTAAGTCTTCTTTTTCTCATCTACTAATATTTTTAATTAGCCATCATAAGTTAGTTAGTGCAGCTGGTCCAGATTATGTGGTATCTTTTATTAGGGTTTTGTGTTTAACTCAACTAGTATTAATTTTAAATCACTACTGTATTAGCTCTTAACTTATAGAGCTTCTTATAATTATGATTGTAATAATTAGCTGTACTGGTCTTGAAGTAAATAAAGTAGCAGCTAATTTTATGTTCTTAGGGAACTTGTGTTTCTTTCTATGTAGTAAAAGAGATTTCTTTGCTGATTCTAGTTAAATACAATTCCTACATCAGGGAGAACTTGGACCAAGTGTGAAGTTTTAACTTTGTATTTGTAGCAAGATGTGAAACCAATAAACTGAATCTAGAGGTTCATGAAATCAAGACATCGTATAAGGACTGCTTTCATTAGTATCTGCTAGTCAGAGGCAGATTTCAAGATTTAAACTTGGTGAAACGTTCGACCTGTAAATATTGAATTCATTGTACAACAACAATATACCCAATATTATCTCACACCGTGGGGTCTGGGCAGGGTAGTGTGTACGCAAACCTTACCCCTACCTTGTGAGGATAGAGAGACTGTTTCCAATATACCCTCGGCTCATATTGAATTCATTGTACTTTTGATATTATGAGTTTAGAATTTACATATTAATTAAAAGCTTTATGATATTTGTTCTGTGTCATAAATGCGGGGTTCAGTTGAATCTGTTGAATAAAGAATCTCTCTACCTCTTCTGTTAGTCTATTTTGTTGTTCGCTACTGTGTTAAAACACAAAATCAGAAAACTGCTAGAAGAATAAAAGAAACTGGAAAACAGTAAAGAATAAGAAATATTCCGAGTCCACAATTTGCTTGTGTGTCCTTAAGGAATTTTAACCCCCTCACAAGTTGCCAAGGTAATGGATTAAATCCTCCAAGGATGAAACGGAATAAACCTTCCTGCAACAGTGGCAATACAAACTGCAGGATACCAACGAACTCAAAGAACGGAGCAAAATCACACTTACGAATTTGAGAGAGAGAGAGAGACTGCGAATTAGAATGCAGTATTTTCAGAAAGAAGGAAGTTCTGTAATATTTTTGATGTGTTAAAAACAAAGCCATGCCTCTGAATTTATAGGCAATTATTGGAAGAGATTTGATTTTTGTTCTGGAAAAGTTGTATGTTCAGAAGTTTACGCGTCCTGTCGCGGTCCTATCGCGGTTACGCCAGGACCGCGGCCAAACTAGCCTTCTGAATCAGCAGCAGTGTTCTGGCGCGGTCCTAGCGCGGTTACGCCAAGACCGTGGCCAAACTATCCTTCTGAATCTTCAGCAGTGATCTGGCATTTAATTGATTATTAAATAATTAATTAAATAAATTTTGTCCAAAAATAATCTTATCGATCGATCATTTGACAAATCCAAATCCAAAGCCAAAGCCAAAGCCAAAGCCAAAGCCGAAGCCGAAGCCGAGCCGAGCGAGCGATGACGACGGCGCGAGGGTTCATTCTCTTCAACTCCTTTTAAGAGCTTTAAGAAGTGATTCTATATATAAGCACACAAATGTAGTTGTCCCTCACCAATGAGGGACAAAGAGCAAGTCAAAAGCTCATTTTATTCAAATTTTCATTTCCCTCCATTTTATTTCCCACCATTTCCAATTCACACTCTTAGACTTTAAAGCCCAATGCTTAAAGTCTTTGAAGCCCAATGCCTTTAAAGTCCAACAATCCCCCACATGAATGGGAATGGCTATAACAAGAATGATCATAGATGAAAGCTGTGTGATCTGCAAGTAAGGATTAATCGCATCTGGATAAGTAGGTTTCCCTTTGAACTTTCCGTAGTGAACATATGTCGGATATACTCGGTCAATCGGTAGATTTGATATCTTTGAACCGTCGAACTTTAGTGTATACCTAGACAACCATATGTCACACAACCAACCCTTAACCGTCTTTTGGTTCTCATTGTTGTGTTCGTTTCAGCCATGAACACCGCCTGGTTTCATAAGTGCGTAGAGAATTAGCCTTACAGAATTCTCATTGAAGCGGCTTCCACTTCATACTTACATAGGTGATTCCTAATTGTGTAATCCTTTAGATTGACACTATTTGATAAATACCACATCAAACTTAGGTAATCATTAAAGAACATGTAAAGTTCTATCCTTGTTACTGAACATTGTCTTCATCACGAGAAGGGACCAAAGATTTTACTTTGACAATGTTGAACCGGTCAATCACAACTTTGTTTGAGCTCCTTGAACCTAGATCTCCGAACATCCAAAATTCTAGGTAGAGTTACCGCCATGTTGACTTGTCCTCGGCCATAGTCCCATTCCCTTAGATGATTTCTCAACTCCCTCTCTAGTTAAGCCTTTTGTAAGCGGATCCGCCACATTATCCTTTGACCTTACATAATCAATAGTGATAATTCCACTAGAAAGTAGTTGTCTAACGGTGTTATGTCTTCGTCGTATATGACGAGACTTTCCGTTATACATAATGCTCCCTGCCCGTCCTATTGCAACCTCACTATCGCAATGTATGCAAATAGGAGCCAAAGGTTTTGGCCAGAACGGAATGTCTTCTAAGAAATTTCGAAGCCATTCAGCTTCTTCACCGGCTTTATCCAAAGCTATAAACTCTGATTCCATTCTAGAGCGAGCGATGCACGTTTATTTGGAAGACTTCCAAGATACTGCTCCTCCACCAACAGTAAAAACATATCCACTTGTGGACTTTGTTTCTGTTGAGCCGGTTATCCAATTTGCATCACTATATCCTTCGATAACCGCAGGATATTTATTGTAGTGCAAAGCATAGTCTTGGGTATATTCCAAATATCCCAGAACTCGTTTCATTGCCACCCAGTGATGTTTGTTGGGATTACTTGTGAATCGACTAAGTTTACTTATCGCACAAGCTATATCAGGTCGTGTACAGTTCATGATGTACATTAAGCTTCCCAACACACGAGCATACTCCAATTGAGACGTACTTTCACCTTTATTCTTTATAAGATGATGATTTAAGTCAATTGGAGTTCTTGCACTTCTAAATTCCAAGTGTTTGAATTTTTCAAGTACCATTTTCACGTAATGTGATTGAGACAAAGCTAGACCCTTAGGAGTCCTCTGGATTTTAATTCCTAGTATTACATCGCAACTCCTAAGTCTTTCATATCAAACTTACTAGCAAGCATACGCTTAGTAGCTTGAATGTCGGCAATGTCTTTGCTCATTATTAGCATATCATCAACATATAAGCAAACAATGACTATATGATTTGGAACGTTCTTAATGTAAACACATTTATCACATTCATTAATCTTAAAGCCATTTGACAACATTGTTTGGTCAAATTTCGCATGCCATTGCTTGGGTGCTTGTTTTAGTCCATAAAGGGACTTAACAAGTCGACACACCTTCTTTTCTTTTCCCGGAACCACAAACCCTTCAGGTTGGTCCATGTAAATTTCTTCCTCTAGATCACCATTTAAGAAGGCTGTTTTTACATCCATTTGATGGATTTGAAGACCATACAAGGCGGCTAACGCTATTAGCATCCGAATGGATGTAATTCTTGTTACCGGCGAGTATGTGTCAAAATAGTCAAGACCTTCTCGCTATCTAAATCCTTTGACAACAAGTCTTGCCTTGTATTTGTCAATAGTACCATCGTCTTTCATTTTCTTCTTGAAAATCCATTTAGAACCCAATGTTTTGTTACCTGGAGGAAGATCAACCAATTCCCAGGTATGGTTGCTCAATATGGATTCTATTTCACTATTGACAGCTTCTTTCCAATATTGTGCTTCTGAGGAAGACATTGCTTCCTTGAAGGTACGAGGCTCATTTTCTAGCAGGAAAGTCAGAAAATCTGGACCGAATGAAGTAGATGTCCGTTGACGTTTACTTCTTCTCGGATTTTCCTCATTAGGCATACCATCTGTTATTTCCTCCCGAGGTCGTTTTGACTTTTGGTAGGTCACTTCACTTTCCTTTTTATACGGATAAATAGTTTCAAAGAATTCAGCATTATCTGATTCTATTATCGTATTAACGTGAATCTCAGGATTTTCTGACTTATGAACCAGAAAACGATATGCCTTGCTATTGGTTACATATCCAATAAATACACAATCAACCATTTTTGGACCTATCTTAACCCTTTTAGGTTTAGGAACTTGTACCTTAGCTAAACACCCCCACACTTTGAAGTATTTCAAGCTGGGCTTCCTTCCTTTCCATTTTTCATAGGGAATGGACTGTGTTTTACTATGAGGTACACGGTTGATTATTCGGTTATCTGAAAGTATAGCTTCCCCCCACAAGTTCTGTGGTAAACCAGAACTTATCAACAACGCATTCATCATCTATTTCAACGTTCGTTCTTTCTCTCCGCAATTCCATTAGGTATTGGAGAGTAAGGGGCAGTTGTTTGGTGAATAATGCCATTTTCCAAACATACTTCTTCAAAAGGAGATTCATATTCGCCACCCCTATCACTTCTTATCATTTTGATCTTTTTGTTTAGTTGTGTTTCAACTTCACTCTTGTATTGCTTGAAAGCATCAATTGCCTCATCTTTACTATTAAGTAAATAAACATAGCAATATCTCGTGCTATCGTCAATAAAAGTAATAAAATACTTTTTCCCACCGCGAGATGGTGTTGACTTCATGTCGCAAATATCTGTGTGAATTAAGTCTAAAGGACTTGAATTCCTTTCAACGGACTTATAAGGATGCTTAGCATACTTTGATTCCACACATATTTGACATTTGGAATTAATGCAATCAAATTTTGGCAATACTTCTAAATTTATCATCTTTCGCAATGTTTTGAAGTTGACGTGACCTAAGCATGAATGCCATAAAGTGTTTGACTCAAGTAAGTAAGAAGAAACATTAACTTTATTGATAGGAACTACTATTACATTTAGCTTAAAAAGGCCCTCATTCAGGTAACCTTTTCGTACATACATATCATCTTACTTAGTACAACACTATTAGAAATAAAAATACATTTGAATCCATTCTTGACAAGAAGTGAGGTAGACACAAGATTCTTGCGAATTTCTGGAACATGGAGAACTTGGTTTAGAGTCACTATTTTTCCCGACGTCATCTTCAATGCAATCTTGCCAACTCCTTCAATTTTCGCTGTAGACGAATTTCCCATGAAAATTGTCTCGTCGGGTCCTGCGGGGGCATAAGAAGAAAA